ACTTTTATTGCATCCGCCATACAAACCCCTGCATTCGCCAACTCTTTCTCAAACTTGGGATAGAAATTTGCAAATGATTCCCTTTCTTGCTGCTTCATAGACTTTAAATTTGTCAGCGCTTTTGTCTTTGCTGCAGGATCACCATATAGTTTTTCCATCTCTTGCAAAAGTCCTTCAAAAGTTGCTGTCCCTGCTTTCAAATTCTGAGATACCCATGGTGTGACATTTTTTGCAGCTGTATCTTTCAGCTTATTAAATACAGCATAAAACTGAACCATTGGATCTGGTCCACTTGATATCGCTCTGCCATAGGCCTGTAATTGCCATGTAGGCCATATGGATCTATCGCACCAGTGAACTCTACTAGATCTATTTTGGCAGCTGATTGTGATGAAGAAACTGTTTGGGTTTGATTGGTGACAGACTTTGCAATGAGATTTTCTAAAACAGTTCGTATCCCCGCTTGCTCTTCCTGAGTTCTTTGGAGTGAAGTAGTGAGTTCCTGCAATGTACGAATATAATTTCCAGCCAATCCTTCTGGTTGTAAAGGTTGATTTGAACTATGGCCTTGGTCACTCATCTTGATTAAACTTTGGTACAATATTTTATTCTTCGCTTCGCTTCGTTTCGTTTCGTTACTCTGTCTGTTCGTTCGTTCGTTTCGTTTCGATATAACTGTTGCTCGATACTGTTAGATTTCCGATGAGGGTTTGTAAGTGTTAGTGAGATTAAATATAATGTCAGAGGAAAGCTAAGAATGATATAGTTGGGTCTGAATCATGAGCTATATTTAATCTAAAGAGATAAAGTTCTATGTACACGAAATTATCATACAAACTGTGTGCCGAGGCCGGAAGATTATCAGCCGAGCCTAACCAGATCAAGATGAGTATGATTAGGCGAGCGCATGCTTAGTACAGTTCACAACTGTTACAATTATCCTCTTCGATCTATAGTTCACCATAGATTGAAAATAAACTACCTCTGACAATTAGGTTGCCCAAGTGCCTATGCTTAGACTGTGACACTAGGCGAGTGCAGAAACAATACTCCAACCCTTCCTCGATGCCCGTAAGGGACCACAGCCCCATTGAGTTTCAAAAAATGGCACCGACGATCTCGTTTCTCGTTTCTCGGGGGGGTTTTTTTTTGCATCAGATTTTAATTGCGTATGCAGCCATCTAGCTATGACACACTATCAAAGAAAAGTACAGATGAGATGATTCAACGTAAGAGAAGAGTACTCATGCCTCGGATTCCATTTGCGAGTACCACTGCGAATTTATGACGGCTTTTTCTTCACCCCAAGTCAACCCTCATCCGTGAATGCCCACCCAGGGGGACGTCTCAAAAACCTTGAGTTATCCAGACATGCCTCCGTCATCTATCATCTTTTCTCCCCACGAAATGTGGTCTTGGGTGTCTCCTTCCCGAGTGGAGTAGGTGCGCAGGCTACTCAGACTATACCGGAGAACACCACCAGGGGGCGGACCTCAACACCTTCTATCGTTGACTTGTGTTTAAAGTGTCGGCTGCACTCTCGCAAGCGAAGCCTTGGCGCGCACAAAGCCTAATTCGAGAAACTCCTTTCCAAAATTCGGAATCTCACGCCCTTCGAAGTTATATCCTTCCTCCGTATCATCTTGTCAACTTGTCCTGATTCCTCTCACGTCTATCCCAAAGAACTGTCTCCCAGATTTGTGCGCCACGCTTTGCTTCCTCCTGCGGATGTAAATATCGGCGTGGGCGTGTATATGGTGGTCAACTGAGACCAGAGAAGGTCGAAGAGTGGTGTGATCATTGGAATGAGGATGTACCAGGTCGTACTTGCAGAATTGATGAGACTTAGGTAGAAGTCAAACTCGTTGGGCGCGAAAAAACAACGTAGAGGAGTAATTTGAATTTTTGCCTAGTGGGCCAACTTGTTCTGTATTGCGAAATTTGACTGAACTTGGCTCTGGGAGAAAATTTAACCCCTAGGTTCGTAGAGGACACCGCGTACAGGTGTTCAGTCTTGCCCTCCTCGTTTCTCGGTGCAAATATGGGAAGAGGAGAATCCACAACGGAGACCATCCTGTAATCCACTTTGGATTCAGGAACCGATGTCCCACTTCTCTAGCAACTCCGGACCCAGTGTAAAGACGTCAATTGGCTCGTCACGTCGAATCCAGATTTTGATAAGCAGTTGCCACATAGCTGCGGTCCCAACTCGGCCAAGTTACACTCCGCAATTTATACTCGGAAATGAAAGAGAAGCTAGGCACAGCTAATTTGCGACCCATGACCCGATGTAATCATTGTTTCGGTTTGTTACGGGTCGAGGAACAAGTGCCGAAACAAGTATGTGGTCGATAGTACGTAAATTATTATTCCAGGGATAGAACTACTTCGGTCTCTTTATATGCCTATATTTTAAGGAAATAATGACCCTCTATCATTGAGGTTTTAGAGCGCATTGATTCAAGTAACTACCGAAGTGAAACTAAGTACAGAATTTGCAGTCACGTGTGTATCAGCAACTTTGCCCACTTGATAGCCCTAATTATTCTAAATTCCAACACTATATATATAAACATGGTCTCCATGTTTATGAGGCACGGTACCTCCTTGTCTCGAGTCAAATGAGATTCCTCAGATGTGTTGACTCTTCTTATTGTAACACCTCGATGTGTCTTAGGGATTGTTATAAGAATCTGAGTACATAACTGCCTACACCATCAGGGGATAACCGTGTACCAGCTTATGGCTGTATGTAATTATATGTTTATTGTCCTATCAAGTCTGTGAATATGAAAGCACATGTAGGACCTTTCTGTCTACAGGCCAGGACCATCTATGCCTCGGGTAGCGTACCCCCTTCTATGCTTCCTTCCAGCAGTAATACCACCATAGGTCTTCATTCGAGCGCACACTAATAGGAGCTGCTATCACGTTATTATCTCCACTCTCTAGCCAACGAGGCTACGCACAATCGCGGGTGTGTAGCTGCAGAGTAATGTTTCAAAAACCACTGAGTACGGGGCTTTCCTAATACGAAGAGGCCGACCAGCGGGGCGCAGCAGACCTGTGTATATCTGAGACTATCTCTCAATCTACCTAGTCGACTTATTACTCTTTTATTTATTCATGCCGCAGGACAAACTGAAAGTCGTGTAAGGATGTCAGAAAAGTCTTGGTCGAGAGTGACTGCCGTGAAAGAGCCTAGACTAGCATCCAAAAGTCGTTGCAGACGCGGAGTCGTAGGGTAACACATGTATTTCAAATACCTTCCTTGCTAGTAGATTCGGAAGTAAAGATTAGTAGGGACGATACTATGGACGAGTCGAAATCTGCTTTTATTGAGGGCGGAAGAGTCTTTTACTTTACTTTCGTGGGCTTTTTGCTCGCCCACCGTTGGGTAGCACATGTTGTGATTTCACGAGGGCTACTCTTACTACCGTTGTAGCGTTTGGTACCGCATTACTTTTCCTCACTCCCAGCATCATTATCATCGTCTTGGTCATCTTGTGTGTTATCGGAAGCTTATCTTTGAAGGAGGGGGATATAACTCGGCTCAAAATTGAAAAAGTGAATCTCGATCTCGGCTTTGCAGGCTCTAAAGTGAAAGCTGGAGGTTCTTAAGGAACACAACTGACAGGTGCTGAGTTTTCATGTCCTGGAATCGAAGTGTAATCATGATTGTGAGGACGCACTACGTGTTGTTATTATGAGCTTATGCCAGTCAATGGGCTGAAGCTCCTATTTAGCATTATGCGCAGGATGTGATAATCTTGTGGTCTAATGGTATGTGTTTCGGTCTTCATTGATCTACTGAGGAGAAGAGTTGTCCTGTGCCCAAGATTGAGTTGCTCGTGCACTAATTGTTACCCAACTCAGCTGTCTCTATTCTAATGTGATCCTCATAGACCACATATTACAACAATAAATCGTGCTCGAAAACTGGACAAGTCTTTGAAACAAGCCGAGCTTTCAAGGATTTAGTACCCAATGTCGTAAAAAGTCTTCAATCATTGTCTAAAAAACCAAAAAGCTCGGTATCGCGAGGTTTGATATGATTCTAGTCAAGCGGTGTAATTCACTTTCATGCTTGTATGGAACGCTTCTTAACACAACGCCTATTGCCCTGTATCCTTGGATAACTTGTAGAAGGCACATCGTAATTTAGTTGAGATTGGCTTAATATGACCTTGATGCTTCTCCAAACTCAGCATTGTCTGGATCATATCTCCGCCCCCAGAGATGAAAGGGGTATGATCATTTTGATACGTTCCGTTCAAGGTTTTCAGATGCATCTGACTGTCATTCCTCCCCTCACTAATAATCCCGAACTCCTTTTCCAAGCGAGACGCCGAGCTTTAAGACCACATCAAGATTGCTCCTCTAGTAGTCTTTTCCGCAATACAATAAGCTAAGCGCTCCACTAATTCCCTACTATATTCTGATCGTTCACTATACTTTGCAATGTGGATCGTTATATAACCGGAGTATGAAAGATTTCATTTATGTAAAGAAGAGCTACACTATTGATAGAAAGACAAGTTTACACTTAGTCTCACGCTCTACACATACGGCGATTGCCTTGGACAGAAGCAGAGAAACCTGTGAACTTCACAGTCAGAATTTATCTTTTTTTCGTAATAACGCGCAAAAAATCTCCTAACCGGCCTACCGATCTCTCTTGTCTAAAGCATGAGATGAGATTCCACAACACATGACTCGTGTATGGCAGAGAAGAAGAAATTGCAATACGAGACTGAAGATGTAGCCGTCATTTGATTCTTATGGCACCTTATCACTCTCATCAGCTTATAATCTCGTTGCATTCTCGTTCAAGACTAGCAAAAATCTCAAATTACCTTGATTAGATTCTCTCCCTTGAAGTCCCATGTCCCGAGGCAAATACACACGATAGGGTCCAGACTTATCAAAGACCACCGACACATCGGAATTGCAGTGGATCATACAACATAGGTCGATAGAATATTCTCAGATTTGCGCCAATGGTCTGCCTTCTCGCAATTCTTTTATACACGGGCCAGAGATTAGCGCAGAAGCATCGTTTGGTCATCACATCCACTGAGCCTAACCGTCCTAATTATCACATCTATGAAGCTAATCATGAGCAACCATTTCCGGTGCCTGGCAGAGGCTCTAGTATCTACAGAACTTTGGTCACTGTTGACGAGCCCGGCACTTATGTAACGGTTTATTGCTCCATTAAAGCGACAATCGATGATTTACGGGGATTTGTTAGTGGAGGCTTGACAAGCTTGCCGAGCCGCATCGATAGAAGGTTTGATAACGATGAGAAGTCGGAAAATGAATGCTTGGAGTATGTAAACAACCTCTATTTTGACTCGAAGAGAAAAGCTGCAAAAGGTGGAACTCGAGTAATTCAAGTACAAGATCCAAATCTATTGCCTGTCTCACATCTCATCAAGACACACCAATGCACCAAAAGACTCTTAATCAGTTTGGCCTATCAACGAAGAGTTTTATGTGCTCATGGGCACGGATTCGTGACGACGTATAGCGATGAAAATCTACCAACCATAAAATTTGATGAGCCAGTGGAAATAGCAGACGCAATATTTGACGGTCAGTTTGTTATGCAACTGAGTGAAAACGGTATCCGAGACGTCTTGGTATGGAATCAAGGCCAACTGCAAAGTTTTACGCAACGTTATCCCTCTGGAAGCTGGATGGAGCGTACTTATAATGGGAATGAGCCACATTCAGGATTGCACATAACCGAGTTAATTAAATCCAGTAACGCGCAAGTAAGTAAATTTATGAATGAATTCGCCACACTGGAAGATACCGAATGCGGTGGATCTGATTGTCTTTGGTTCCAGTCCAAAGCTTTCCGTAAGCCTAAAATCTGCCGCGATCGCAAATTTAAACATCTACAAATAAGCGTGAAAAAATTTGATCCAATACCAGCAGAGGGTAATATTGCTCATATTCGTTTAACAAAACCCAATGACGAGGATCAAGGAATAATTGTGAGATCAATTTCATGAAGAATAGATCGAGGTCCTGGTAATCGTGAAAGGTTCACTGTGCTAAAATAATCTTCTTTGCTGGGGATGAAAGTAATTTTCGGATTTCTATTAGTACAAAGGGTCTCAATTGGTTTAATACCTCAAAAGTGCTAGAAAAAAGTGGTGTAATTCTATCTTTCTTTTCCTGTATCCTCCATTAACCATTAATATCTGAGTTACAAAATAAAGCTTAGCACTATAACTAAATCACATGATACTTTGACCAATGCTCATGGACGTATATACGTAAGACAAGCCATCTATCCCTACGCCATACACTTCTAAACCGAAAGTTTCCAATAATTTGTCCCAGTTTGGAAGCAGAGATCTATTATTCTATGAGGGTCCTAAAAACAACCTTGTGGGCACACCGATAGTTTGAAACAGCCAATAACGGCATCAGATAGTTTAGAATGGCTACAAATTAAATACTGCTTGAGACTTTCAGATTGCTGCTGTTATGGTAACAAAATCTGCTTATATTTTGGTGGAGCGACTGGATTTATTGATAATCTTGATCCCTTAGTTGGATCGGGGGTTAAAAAGAATGGGGTTGTAGGGACGGTGTGAGAGACTGAAGTAGTTTCTTTCCGGATGGTATCGTAAGCTGCGGTAAAGATTGTGAGCCGGAGATGGAATTTGAAGTGGTTATAGTCTCTCTTAAACGCATGGGGGTGATGGTTCATTCCTACGTTGACAAAGAGCTCATCACATATCGCCCTATAAGTTCTTGATTTTATTTTTTATTTTAAATTCATATTATATTCAGTTATTTGAGTTATTGCTTTTGCATCTGTAATCTAACGTCAAGTTATCTAGGCCCTAGACTGTGGCATGAAAGCTCTAGCTCCAAGTGAAGTGTAGAAAACTAGCCAGGGACATGTGTGAAGAGATAGTACAAATGCTAGAAGTTACTATTTCATGGACTAGACCACAGCCAAATCCAAAATAGGCCAAAGTCACCTAGAAATTACTGGTGTGATTTTATCTCGGGCAGATTAATGTGGAGCGATCTAAAAAACCTGCACCCTGATGGACAGAACCCACACATCTCGCCCCAGACTTGAAAAGGCAGAGGAACCAGATGGATCGAGAACAAGAAAATCTGCGCAGCTGGACAAGAAGCTTTTCACTACATCTAATTTCTTCAACTCATCCCATATATTCCCATAATTTAAAACCTTGCCTCGAACCTGGATTAATGATTTACTAACTTTCCCAGTCCAAGATTCTCCTTTGTACCTAGATCTAGATGCTCATACCCCTATCAAGGGATAAATATGCGGAAGATTTACAACGTCTAATCTGGTGGACAAGATGGTCGACAAATAGGAAAGAAGGTTCTCCAGGAATCTAGAAAATACCCAACTATGACCGGATTTGCATTTCGCGTGATTACCAAAACTCATGTGACCCGATCTTAACATAGCTAGATCTGTAATGCTCAGATATGTAGTGGTAATTCTTTCTTGGGCCCGCAAAGACGAATTCTTCACCTTCCAGTGGTGTCAGTGTAATCACTCAGTATACTCTGCATATGTGGGATAGCTAAGAAGAATCGCATCCGAATCGAAGTCGAAAGCAACCTCAAGCACATCTCCATTTGACGACTTATCGACAATGCCTCTCTTACCATACTCATCTGAGTCCTCAACCTCTTTCTAACCAGGAATCATCTCGCCTCAACGACCGATAAAGAAGTTGCTCCAATTGCAAAAATGAGCTTGCCTCATTGATTTCCAGCCATCACTTACTAGAAATTTACGACGCTACCCATACCCGCAAGGAGGAAATTAAGTCATAATATACAAAGTTGGGGTCTTGGTTTATGGGGGACTGATACTCTAATGGGGTTATTGTTGTGATTATGAGCTCACGGGAGTTAATGAGCTGAAGTTTCTCTTTAGCATAATACGCAGAGAGTGAAAACCTTGTGTTCTGATTGTATGTATTGAGGTCTACAATAATCTAATGGGGAGAAGAATTTTCCTATGTACAAGATTGAGGTGTCCGTGCACTGAATTTTACTTGACACAGCTGCTACTCTAACCTAACGTAATCCCCATAGACCACACTTTACAATAGTTATGCATCTTGAGTAGGGACAGGCAGCTGAGATGTAAAAAGTGAGGGGGGAGAGGTCTCCGAAGCTCATGCCGGGACGGACATTATCGAGGGGTTTTAAACTTTGGAACGTTTGTGGGCGCCAAGACCGAGATTTCGGCTAGTTAGCCAGGAGGACTTCAATTTTTGATGAGTTGACAGCACTCCCCAGCGCCCTGAATGACACAAAAGAAGTCGGGCTAAGCTACTACACAGCAACCACGCTCTGTCAAGACTTTTCTGACATTTCAGCACGACCTTCGGGATGGAGTTGGAAGGAGGCTAGAAAGGCAGAGTGTGAATTCTCCGAGGTACCCACAAATCTGCAGCGCCCAGCTGGCCGGCCTCTTCGAACGCTTCATAAGGAGCAATATGTCTTCGGATTTATTCCTAATTTTGGTATTAGGAGAGCTCCGCACCCAGTGGTTTTTGCGACTTTTCCCGGCTGCCATACGCCCGCAAATGGCCATCGTTTTTTTGGCTGGAGAGGGGAGATAATGAAGGGCAAAGCGCTCCTCTAGGTGTATGATCGAATGAGGACTTATGAGGGGCGGTACTGTTTGAGGGGAGCTTCAAGGGAGGCATTGGTGGGGATATACTACTGGTATAGGTATCCTTGGCCTGTAGGCAGAGAGGACCTGCATGTCCCATATAGTCATAGACTCAGACAGGACAATTAAATGAATTAATATTAATAATAATTTAGACTGGGCTCACTGGCACGTAAAAATCTCACGTGCTGTGCGCGGGCACGGCGTTAAATATTGTTGTTATATATGCGACAGTGGAGTTAAGAGTATACTGCATACCAGCTATATATTCAGCTGCGTGTGGATACTTGCTTTCCAAATCAGTATCCTTAAAATATAAATATATATATATAATTTATTGTGTGTATTATAACTACAACTATTGGTATTTCTTTTCTTGTTCTTACAATTATCTACACACTTCACAATTACGGAAAGTGTGGAATTCTAAGCGATACACGTGATAAAATTACAGATTTATCGCATGACTTTCAACAAATATAATAAATTATTAAATTGGGAGGTCTTCTATAGCTGTATGACAGTAGAGAAGACAAGGGAATTAGCACAGTGGAAAGAGGTCAGATAGAATGAGAAGCAATAGTGTTATTTTCACGAGAGTGAGATGGACTAAAACTACTGAGTACAAACTTTTTCCATGCAACTGAACTGCATGAGTAGCGTTATTGACGCAAACCCTAAGTTTGACCTTGACTATCTCGGCTAGCTCTTATAACAACCAGACACACCTTGTCATTTAACACTCCCCCTCGAGAGTTGTCCTGGTTCTGGTCTCTAGTCAATTTTTATCTTTGATCCTGTCACGGGAACTTGTGTGAAGCTGAGACCAAGCTGGCCAATGAATTTCTGGAACTTCACCCTTGCCAACAGTTTGGTCATGCCATCTGCTATCATGTCATCAGTTGAAATGTAATCAACTATCAATCTCCCCTTTCTTACAAGGTCACGTATAAAGTGATAACAAATGTCGATATGTTTTGACCTTTCATTAAGATGTGCATTTTCTGTCAACAAAATCGATCCTTGATTATCTCCGAGCATTTGGACGAGTGCAGGGTTCTTCCCAATATATTTTGGAAGTCCGAGGTCTCTAAATATTTGAGCAATCTATTGCCCATGTTTTGCACACATTGAAACAGCCATATACTCAGTCTCACAGCTTGATGTCGATACCGAGCGCTGCTTTTTACTTGACTAAGAGATTGGTCCACCAAAGAGCATGGTGACGCTCCCAGAGGTACTTTTCCGATCATTCTTATCACTTGCCCAGTTAGCATCTGAATAAACCTTAAAATTATTGTATTCTCCTCCAAGGCCGTAACAGATCCTAAATTTGACTGTCAATTTTAGATATCGAGAAATTGTTTTGAGTGCATATCCATGATGTTCTGCAGGGTCACTCATGAATTGACTCAGTTTTCCAACCGCAAAAGCGATATCTGGCCTTGTGAAGGTTGCAGCATGCATTAGGCTGCCAATTGCTTGCTGGTATTCAGTTACGTCAATTCTCTTGTTATCATTTGTTGCTGGTTATAAATGTTCATATCCTATGAGTGGCACTGTCTTTGGCTTGTGAGCACCTTTTCTGAATCCAAACTTTTCCAATAGGCTTTGAATGTATTGTTCTTGGTCTAGATGTTAAGTGCGGCTCTTTCTGTCTCGCGTAACCCTAGCTCCAAGGATCTTCTCTATCTCCCCCAGATTATTGGCACTGAATCTTGTCAATAAATTTTTATAGAACTGTCGGAATACTTCAAGTGGACGGGTTTCGTGACAAGCTTGTTGTAACAATATTGGTATCAATTCATTCCTGTCTAACTCCCTCCCTCCTATGGAACATCTAATATTTACATTGGGGTGCCAATTTCTTATTCCCGGCGCTATTCTATATAAGGAAATATTACGATAATAAGGCACGTGATATGATACAGAACTTTAATCAGACACTGGCAACAAAAATAAAAAATAAATAAAAATAGGGGCCGTGAAGGCAGAGCTTCATTTAGACTGGCTGCTTTGCTCCACCCATCTGTTGCTCTCAATTTTCAGGTAGTTAGAATCGACAAGTTCTTTTAAGGCATGACAACATTTGGATTTGGTCATGGCATCCGCTGGGTTAGTTTCCCCATCAATCCAACGGATCTCGGCAATTTCTCGTCTCTCGTACGACTGACAAAGAGACATTAAGTCTACCATGAGTCTCTTTTCTTGAGTTGTTCACAGTTTTACAAGGCAATCATATAAAGACTTTGAATCGGTACATAGAACTAACGGTAATTGCGCTTGTAAGATCTTATTGAGAGTTGACTTAATCGATGCGGCAAT